AAAAATTTATCAAGGTCTAATAAAAGAATTCTGGAAATTTGCAACAGTTAAGAAAGGAGATGATGGTTATGTATTCATTGAAGCTCTCGTCAAAGGATGCGAGAATATTGTCACATAGTAGATAATCAGAGATGTTCTAAAAATTAACGATCAATCAAGCTTTTCTATAGAAAATGAATTGGATCAGACTCAGGAGCTCTTAAACAAAATGTGTTATGAGGGCATATTTCCACCTACTTTAAAAATGCTATTACCTCCTTATTGGAGGTTTCTAGATCATGTTTTTATAAGTTGCATATCAGGGAGAAGATCGGGTGCCGATGAGATTTCGTTAAGAAACACAGGAGCTATTGCTGCTCTTGCTGCTGGATTTGACTACAGCTTCTCGAAATTTATTCTGGATGAGCTGGTTGTGAACATAAGATGAAAGGCAAGAGACAAGTTTTTGATGTATCCAAGGTTTCTCCAAATAATAATCAACAACCAATTCCGAAGATCCTTAAAGGTGGTAAAACATTGGACATAAAGTCTCTTGGTCCAAATACCACCGGGTTGATCAAGTAAAACCATAAGGGTAAAGTTATTTTTGAAGGAAGATATCCGCTTGTGAAATTTGGAATGTTCGCAAAGTCCAGTGAAGCTTCTGCTTCTCATGAGTTGTCTGACCGCATGACTGTTGATGATGATGTAATAACGGTGTCAGATCTCGAAGATAATAGAGTTCTTCCGGTTGCAATTGTGGCCGAGGAAAATGAGCTAACATCCGTTCATGTTCAAAGTGACTACAGTAAGGGTGAAGAGACTGATAATGATGATGAAGATCTTGAAGACGATGATTCACTTTTTGGGGGCAATTTGTCTCCTCATGATGATCTAGAGCTTGATATGAGTTCTGTTGACAATTTTTTCCCGTCACACGAAGATATGGAGTCATTTTTTAGAGATTTTTTTGGTGGTGTTCAAGAAGCAACACCTCCACTAGTTAATTAGACTGTCGACACTTCAAATCCTATGGATACAACTTCATCGCTTCCTCCCCCGAACGTTGAGATTCCTACATTTGTGGCGTCTGTGAGTGGTCCGCTTGAGACTCGTATCTCTGTGCCTTCATTTAAGAGAAGAAGATTAGATCCAAGGTCAGGGGTACTGATTCAGGATTTGATCCAACCTGTTCAACCTGTACTGACTACTTCAACCACAACTCCAACCATTGCAGCTGAACCTGATCTTGATCAACCAAGAACAACTTTTGAAGCTGGGAGTTCTTCAGCTCCTAGGAATCTCTCTCCTACAAGATATGAGCATGATATTGCTTCTGAAATATTTGATAGGTTCTTAGGCGAAAGTGAAACAAACCTTCCCTCTCGAGAAAAGGTATATCTATAGGGGAAGGCAGCCTGAAAAGGGGAGACACATTGGATCCAGAGCTCAAGGAGAAGATTATTGTGCTAAATAGAAATTAATCGAAAGGAGCTTCAAATTGAGGATCTTGATGATCGTATCTCCGAGCTTGAAGCTGAAAATTCATTAAAGTTTGATCAAATTTCTACTCATCAACAAGACAATACTCAGAAGACAAAACAAATTTCCGATCTTCAAATCAACCTTGGTGCTCTTTCAGCCGATTACTTTGATCTGAATAGACTATTCGCTGAATTTGGAGATAAGTTTCAATCAACATCTGAACGCCCAAGTAATTCTCAAGCTCCTATAACTACCCCAACCACTACTCTAACTTTCTAACAAACTGATAATGTGTCAATTAGAACTACAACGATCGTTGACCGGTTTGAGAAGGAACTAGCACAAGCTCCACCCTGAATCATTATCAAGAGGGGAGGGAGAACATTTATGTCCTAGAAAAGGGGGTTTACTCTTCATGAAGAATTCTAACCAGAATATTTGTGGAGATCAACCTCAACTAACGATGACTGATCTAGAAAAGAAAAAGTTCCCGCACAAGTACGGAGATCGGTCAGGAATCTGCATGTGAGGATTTCATGATAGAATCAATTGTTGGCTTGTTAAGAGGAGGAGCAACACAGTGGAGTATTACAAACATCATAATGACTTCTCCTCACCAACCAAGGTGGATCTTGCTGAACTGTCTACTGCTCCCTTCTACAATCCCTCTAATAATCCTCAGGCGACTTTCATACTTTTATTGGAAAATCATGTGAGGAGAGGATTCGACAATATGAAGATTGCTGAATCGTTTCTGAAGACTTCCAAACATGTGTTTGACCCGACCATCGAGAAGGCCATTAAAAACGTCATGTCGCCTCCTATGAAGCAATTGATAAAGATTCCTATCATTAATTTTTTGATGGTTCTTTGCATAATATGCTGTAATGGGTATATGATGAAGCTACAGCCTCTGCAGTTATCAAGTTTAAAGATGTTGTATTTCGTCTAATCGATAAGAGATATCGTTTGCAATTTGGTGAGAGATACATTCACACATTGGCAGGCCATCAAATCATTTGTGAGCAGGAAGTTCTATAGCTAGCTGCTAAAGAATTCACAAGCATGATCTCTGAAATTATCAACAAGAAGATGTGGCTTGGGGTAATGGGAAGATCGGACGTGCTGTTCGTTGAGAAGAACTGAGCTTATGCTAGCCTAAAAACAAGGGGGGGGGGGGATTGAAAGGTCATTATTTTATGGTTTGGGCTAGGCAATCATTTGTGTAAGTCTTTTTAGGTTCTTGGTTGTGTTTTAACTGATTTATCAGAGTTTACGGTTGTGATAGTGTGTACAGCCGTAAACAGGTTTATGGTCGTAAACCTATTTACGGCCAACCTACCCCTATATATAAGGTGTGTCACATTCGTGTCAGGTTGTTGACGAATCAGTGAGTCTCTATAGTTTACGACCCCAAGGTGTATAAGATGTTTATTCGATATATAAAATGCGTGCATGCTTGGGTTGAATATGTTTTCTACTCCATTCTTGCTTGATTGATTGGCATTTGTTTGATCACTGTTGGATTCTCAGTTTTAGCGACTTACATTTCCTTCATAATCTAGTGATTCTACACACTTATAAACTAGTTTCAATCCATTTATACAGATTATCATGTGTTACATAAGATCTTCGAATCTTTAAGTGTTCTTAACTTGAATCTTTCCATCTACAACATTCCATCCACCAAGAAAACACACATAAGGTGAGTTCATACTCCTTCATTGTTTATTTTTAGGGGGACGATACAAGTTGTTATGCATGCTTAATTATATGATGTGTAAACATGCTAAATACATGAAATAATGTTATCACTTAGCATTATGATCATTTAAATGTAAATGTCGGTTTAAAATACAAAACTACGAAAAACAAGTATAAACATGCTATATGTTCTTAAGAAAAAATTATAAACATAAAACTATAAAACTAGGGTTTTTTATGAACCTAATATGACTTGGCTAGAAAAAATGGTTATAACTAAGTTATTTCACCATTTTTGTGGGGTATAAACCAAAATATGTTATTTGGAGCATATTGCTTGAAACTAGTTAAAAATACCAAAGATTTAGTTTTACAAAAAAATAATAATAATAAAACTCAAAAATCTATCATTTTATGTAAAAGAGGGTTTTCTAACAAAAATGGTCATAACTAGGTTATGGTATCATTTTTGTGGGTTTTGACTAAAAATATATTGTTTAAAACATATAAAGTTAACTTAATTTAAATATCACAAAAATATAAAAATAAGTTTTACATAGTTATGTTTCACTATTTACCGTTTGTGACGTTAAAAGTAAAAAACTAAAAAAATAGACATTTTCATAGTAAGGACCCAAATATTAGTGCTAGATATAAAATATTTTTTATTTATGAAAATCTAACCATGCTAGCCTCTCTCTCTCTATATATATATATATATATACTCTCTCTCTCTCTATATATATATATATATATATATATATATATGTGTGTGTGTGTGTGTGTGTGTATTTGTATAAATCAAATATTATATTAAACTATAAAAAGTATAGTTTATGGGACATTAACTCTGTTGTGACATTTTTGAACAAGACGGATAATTATATAAAAGATTTATATAATTATTTTATACTATTGTATGATCATGGAAAGGTGATAATTATACATACAAAGGTTTTCGTTACAACAAAATGTAAATGCGATGGATCAATTTTTTTGAGTCAAAGTCTTCATCGTATCTACCAGAGTACCTACAAAAGTCATGTATTATAACTAGAATCTCCTGTAAGAGAACGTGATACTTGTGTATGGATCTATACCCATTTTTAAAATACTTGTACATTTCGGTCTTAGGGTTTCTAAGACTACACCCATTTTTAATGAAAATATTGGATTTTCTGGAAACGAGCACTATCATTTTACAAGGAAAGACGTACAATTATTCATACAAACTCTTATGGACTCACCAACTTAATTGTGGCACTACTAGAAAAACAGGCTTTTATGACGTGCAATGCGTGTCGTAAAATGCTTAGACGACGTGCAAATGTGTGTTAAGGAAGGCCCTATCATAACGAGAGACGACACGCTTTTGCGCTTCGTCTATAGACGACGTGCATTTTTGATGCACATTTATGACACGCAATGCGTATCATTAAATCACCTGTCAAAAAAGGCCATGTCATAAATGAAGATGACACAGGTTTTTGCGTATCGTAAATTTAAGGGAAAATGTCATATTATTCCATCAAACTTTTCGTGTTTGTTTTAAAAGGTCCCCAAACTATTTTTTTCACATTAAAGATATGTACTTTCATTTCTTTGTTTTAAAGTACCCTTATGTTACCTTCTACCGGGTTGAAAGGTAACATACATGCCACGGGGGAAAAGGTCGGTGAAACGTCATTTAATGAAATGACCATGTGTGTTATGCTTATATTAATTTGTTATAAAGTAAATCATTTGTGTTCTACAATCCCATCCCCCTCATTGAAGAAACCCCTCCTCATTGAAGAAAGTTGTCGTGATCCCACCATAGTAAATGAAGATCGATGGCTATATTCCTCTCAATCAAAGTTCATTTCCAAGGTGTGTTCGTCAATAAACCTTTTTGCTATTCTGATGGTGTTCATCATGTGTTCGAGAATGTCGATTTTGTTGGTATGTCATATAATGAGTTTGTGGATTTTCTTACACGATTCACACAAGAGAAGTGTGAAAAAGTTTATTATTGTCAACCTGATTTACAAATCCCAGAGGGTTTAAGCTTGATTTCGAACGAATGTCAATATCAAGAATTTATAGACATTGCTTATGAATGTGGAGTACAAGTTCCTGTTTACATGGACCATTTTGGTACTACTGTGCATGTAACGAAGGAAAATGAAAATGAAAATGAGGATAATTGTTTTGTCATGTCTAACATGTCAATAGAAGGGGAAGAAAGTATTGACCTAATTAAAATTAATAGTCCACAAGAAATCAACATGGAAGGAGTAACCTATGATGGAGTAAGTCAGGGTAATGGAAATGAGAAGGTCATAGAAGGTGATCCAAAAGATGATGAAGATGATAATATCCCAGATGTTAAAGGAAAACTGATGTTTAATAAAGACATACATTGGAAGAAACAATTGCCAATTCTAGGTATGAGGTTCACCAACCCTAAACAAATAAAATTTATGATTTGTAATTATGCTGTAGCAAATGGGTATCAATTGTACTTTGAAAAAAATGACAGTAATAGGTTATTGGTTAAGTGTAGTAATGGTCAATGCACATTTAGGCTTTGGGCATCATGGATGAGTGAGGAGCACCCTTTCCAATCAAGTCCCTTATCATTGACCACAATTGTGCAAAAAATTTTAAATTAGGGTCAATTCTTAATTACAGATGGATTTGTAGTCATTTCACCAGGGAAGTGCTTGAGAATCAAAAATTCAATGTTAGGATGTTAAAAGAGGAAGTAAAGACTAAATTTGGCATAGAGGTTAGTATGTGACAATGTAGGAGAGCTAAGCAACATGCATTTAAAACAAGAAACTTAGGAGAGTCTTATGGACTTGATTTGGAAAAGAAAACACGTACTTGTAGGATTTGGCAAATGAATGGGTATGGTTGTGTACACTCAGTGGCAACCATTAGTTATGTAATTAGAGACGTAGAGGCATTTGTTGATCCTACAAGTACACAACTGGAAGCATAAATGGGAGTGCAATGTGGCCCCTAACAAACTACATACCACCTTTTCCACCATTGAAAAGCAAGATGCCAAGGAGACCCATGTAACGCCCATAGATTTGGGCTAGTCAATTTAGAGATAATAGAGGTCAAAAACGACTTTTTGACAAAAGATTATTTAGAACAATTAATCTTAACCAAGTTGTAGAATATGTCTCAAGGGTTCCATACATATAAAGAGCATCGAAATCCGAGTTATAACAAAGAAGTTATGACCCGTCGAAGTTTAGCGACGGAGTCGGCATGACACCGCGAAGACGTAAACAGTGAATTTATAATAGAGTGACTTTTAGCCTTAGTAATCTAAATGAAAGTCATAGAATATGTTAACCTGAGAATGTCCATAAAAGAACGCCTAAATCTAACTTCGTATGAGGAAGTTGTGATTTTTCTAAGTTTCGGCTTAGGGGTGTACAGCCCGAAGTTCGAGTATTAGATCGAGCGGTTTTTCGCCGACACAACCTATACGAGAATCGAAGATATCGTTATTAGTAGTGTAACGATAAAAAGAGAGATGAAAATGGACATCGGATGAAGAAGTTATGAGATTTTAACGGACCAATCATGTCCTGGCCTGTTAAAAATATAACTTTCAAAATAAAATCAAAATTAGCTGACGGAGTTTAAACGAAAGTTGTAGAGTACGTCTCCACCTATGCGTGCATATAAATAATGTCAATAACAGAGTTCATATGAACGAGTTACAAATTATACTAGCATATTTACGTATTAAAATAAAGTATAAATCATATATACGTACACATATATATACATATGTATATATCATTAGAATGATATCGCCGATGCGGTCATTATAAGACTAATGTTGAGTTCTTTAGACATTAGTTTAGTACAAATATCGTTAAATCTATTTAAAATAGTATTATAAATGGGTGTTTATGTGTTTATATAACTAAAAGGTCATTAAGTAATTAAGGAGGGTAGTTTTTGAAAATTCACTTAGTATATAAGAGCCTTGGGCTCTCATATTTCTTGCACCATTCTCTTGATTCAAGAGTCTTTCTCTCCTTATCCCCCGAGCATTTCCATCCCTCATGATACGACTTCTCTTTCTGTAGTTTTTAGTATAGTAAGGTGAGAGCTGAAGCGCTGCACGAATCTTTCTTAGAAAGATTTAGCGTCGAAGTTCTGCCCCTGCATAGCCTGACTCCTAGCTAAAATCCCTTTGTAAGTAAGTTATACTTACCCTATTTTAATATAGCTTATATTTAAAATTAATATTGTTATTATGAACTTATAATAAATATTTGAGCTATTATTATGACTTATATAAGTGTCGTTATAATATCTTTTTAACTACTCGCGGTACGGGGAATCTGGTTTAAAGGGCCATATAGGGTTGTTGGATTTCAGAAGTGTTATACGCCAAAATGGTCCTGCCCTCCGATGTTTTATGTCTGGCCCATGTCTGTATATATTGGTTGGTAAGTATTGTTTAAACGTTTATATAATAATAATAATAAGATTATAATTATTCACGGTAAATATTAGACTAAAATCTAGTAGTAATAATACTAGGTTTCGTCGAAGGAAATTATTTTAATGTAAACAAAGCGTTGTCCGAGTACCGAGTCACCACCTTATCAAGTGAGTGCATAGTTACTTTCATCTTACACATAGATATGAAATATTTTGTATAAATTACATGTTATGTGTGCATATTATCTGAATACTTGTTGTCTATGTTGGATGAACGATTTTATACATATTTTAAATGATTTAAACTGTATATGTATTTTATATTTACGATAATGTTGGGGAAAAACCACGAGGTTAGGGTGAGAGGTGGACGATGTGAGAAGCCTTTTCCCAAACGATGGCCCCGTCATTCAGCAGAGTATGGATGACAACCACAGACTACTGTAGACAATCTAGTGTAACACTAGCAGGCTCGCAACCTGTAGGTGTTGTGAATGATGTGTTCATCTGGTGTACTCTAAACCTTGGCGACCATGCATACTTGGTGCCTAAACCTTGGCGATCATGCAGACTTGATGCCTAAACCCTGACGACTATGTAGACTTAGTGCCCGTTATGTAAACCTTGGCGATCATGCCGACTTGATGCCTAAAACCTGGCAAGTATGTAGACTTAGTGCTTGTTACGTAAACTTTGGCGATCATGCAGACTTGATGCCTAACCCCTGGTGACTATGCAGACTTAGTGTCTGTTGTTTAAACCGTGGCAACGATTGACTTCATGCCGATTCCTTAGGATGATCCTTAGGAATAAATGGACGAGGAATAACTAATTCTTAGGGTAGATCCTTAAGAATAAAGAAGATAACGGGGATGGGTAATTGGGTTGATTGCTTAATTGTTTAAACATAATAAACATATTATTGTGGGTTGAAAACCCTATGTACTCACCAGGATTCCCAACCTGACCCACTCAGTTTATTTTTATCACCGATGTTGTTATGAAGTCACATTACACTGAGAGGTGAAGGAGATATAAATCACCAGTGATAATGAATGTAAGTTCTGTTTCTGTATTGACGATGACATCCCAAATGTTTTAAAATGAATAAAAATACTTTTCTTCGGAAATGCTTTGATAACGTATTTATCATGTTTTACTGGGAACAAATTCCTCAACATTTTTATTAAAAGAGGTACTCTGATTTTCATAAAGCATAAACAAAATCGGTCTTTTCTGGCCGTGAAAATAGGGATGTCACAACCCACTATTAAGAGAAAGAGGGGCATTACTAAGGTTACTAGATCACACATAGTATCCAATACAGGAAAAAGGATGTTCTGTGGTGTTTATAAGAAATCAGGCCACAATAAGTCAACGTATAATGCAGTGTCAAAGCCCCAAAAAAGTCAGGTCAAAAAGAGGAAGACTGAAGGTGAAGGTGAATCCAGTGCATTAAAGAAAAGGAAAGGTCAAGGGCAAAGGGGAAATGGTGAAAAAAGGGAAGGGAAAGGGTGAAGGTGATACTGGAAGTGGAATTGGTATCAAAGTGGGAGAAGGTGAATGTGGGTCAACAAGTGGTGTGACTAAAAAGAATGGTAAAAAAGTAGGTACGTTGAAATTAAGAAAAAAGTCAGAGGATACTAAAGAAAAAGTTGGCAAAAAAGGTTGAAGGTAAAAATGGTGAAGGTGATACATCAAGCAAACCAATGGACTTGGATTAAATACATTTTTGGAGTATGTTAGTTATGGTGCAAGGTCTTTATTAAAGGTGTCTTGTTGTTATGGTCTTGTTTAGTATGTTAATGTGTCTTTAAAACACCATGTTATGATATTAATGAATGTATGGGTGTTTGTTTTCTGTTTGTAACATGAATGTTAGTTTCTTTAGTTTAAAACATAACATGAATATTTTCTTTATAACTGTACTTCCAATGCAATTCCACATAACGATGGATTTGAATTATAAAAATGTACTTCCACATAAGGTTATAAAAGGAACTTCACATTTGGTACATTTCATTACAAGCATACTTCAAGGGGAAATTGAAGCCCTGCAACATACGACCTTCACATTTGGTACATTTCATTACAAACCATAACATCATATGCCAAGCAAAACAATGGTTATAATAGGATCTACATTTCATTTCATTCATCCATTACAATTGAAGTTATTATCTTAACATAAACCCCCCAAAAAATCGGTTCTAAACACCATTATATCCTCAATGGGCACCATTGTTCAAAACAACCAATGACACATAACCTAATACATACATATATACTAGCAGATGATGAAATTAGATAAAAAGACACAACCTTCGGCAACACTGATAACCCAAAAGAGACTAATTACCATCATGCTAGCTACAAAATAAACTATACCCACCAAAAGCCCCATCCACTGCATTCGACGTAAACACGAACCCCAATAAACATCATCACTGCAACTCCGACAACACCCATCATTGTCACTTTACTTTTCAAGTTGCATATCTCCTCCCTAAACTCTCCAAGCTGTTGTCGCATCTCATCTCACAATTCCTCAATCTACAATTGGGTTTCCATGGCATGAAGTTCGTAATCAGTTGGTTAGTCTAGTTCCGAAGCTATGAAACCACCATAGGAGAAGCTTTGCTCTGAGGCCATCTTCTTGATTTATAGGTAGGAAAAAAAGTGAAGTCGATCTTGTGAATGTTACGGATTAGGGTAACAAAGTGGTGGGGAAGACGGATTTAGGGGAAGACACTTTTATAAGGGGACCATTAGCAATGACTTGGCAATTCTTGGGGACCAAGATTTCAACACTAATATTCCACGGTGGTGTCCATGTCACGAGAATAGGGGATAAACCTTTTACAATCAGTAAAGGGATGTAATTAATCGGTCAAATGAAAGTATATTTCTTTAATGTGCAAAAAAAAAAAAAAAAAAAAAAAAAACAGTTTAGGGATCTTTTAGAATAAACACGAAAAGTTTGATAGACTAATATTACATTTTCCCTAAATTTAAATGTTTAAAAAATATATATTTATATACTTATTAATTTTTAAATTAAACTTGTGTTTAATGTCTCATGATAGAAATAAAATACCATATACAAGAAATAATTGCATAAAATTTAATGTCATACAATTCTATTTCTTACAATATATAAATTTGCATTCATCTAATCTACTGTGATAATTTC